CTGGGTAATCCCTTCGGTACTATGCCTCTGGGTCTTTAGTTACATTATTTTGTAGTGTGGATGGCAGATGGAACAAGTTCATCCAGCAATCGCTGTGAGCCCCATGCTTTTACTGACGACCTTATAATCACTGGTAGTAGTAGTTTGGATTTAAGGTCCACCTTGAGTTGGCTGCTGGGTCTTTAGGGTATTCTTCGGCTTGCCTTTCCCCCCACTAGAAACCACAAAGGGAGGATTTGACTTGAGATTGATTCATTTACTAAATTCTATGCTAAGCACCAAATTAAGGTTGTTGCCTATCTTCTACATTTCACATCTTGAACTAACTTATATAATTGAATCGGCTAACCATTGGTCAACGTCATTCATAGCTTGATCTGTTCATCCATAGGAACAAAGGAAAGGCAAATAAGAATTAATAGCTTGCATACTCTGTATAGATCACTTTAAGAGGAAGGGTGTTATGATTTCTTTTGAATGGTTGATGTTTATGATGATCCATAACCTGTACTCCAATGAACTGCAGATAATATCTACTGTTAAGAAGCATATCCTGACAGGAGGAGTAAAGCGTCTGCCTTTTACAGTCCCTGCCCTTGTTTTTTCTTCTCTCAAGGTTTGGCTCTCTTGGTTCAGCTCAACTCTTTTGTTGATTCTTTTTCATTTTTGAAATCAACTTTTGGTTGTTGGAATTACGAGTTCATAGTTGTTTTAGCAATATGAGATCAGTTACTGCAGCTGCGAGTATTCAAGCTTTTCATAATAGTTGCTAGTTTGTGTCATAAATCTGACTGTTTGAGCTACTGGAATAAGTGGGTTTTCATCCCCTCCAATGTAGTGGAAGATTTAAAACGTTTCTGAGTATTTAAAATCTCATACCTGGCAATCACTCATAATGTAAAGGTTGAGTAGGAAATTGACCGGGTGAATTATAGAACGATTATTTTCTTATTGGTGTAAAAAGGAAGATGATTATGACGGTGAGGATTGCTATGATTTTGTTAGGGGGCATCATGTTTTGAAAATGTTGTAATTGTGAATTGCTTATTAATTGCAGTTGGTTAGGCAATTGCAAGGCCAAGAAGAGAATCCTTTTGGAGATGAGACAGCTACTACCCCGAAGAAAATTTTTCAGCTATTAACTCAGGTACTACCTAAATGGGGCCAGGAGGCTTTATTCCTCGTGTAAGCTTGGTGTCCATCCTTTAATATTGTTTTAACTACATGGATTGTTGCAACTGTGGCTGCAATGTCAAACATGATGAACTAGGAGGTTATTTTCTCTAAATATGTCTGTTCCTCTAGCTGGTTTTTCATTGGCACTCTATCTGTTACAGATGGCTCATGTTTTGTACATGTTGCGAAATAACTTGTGTAATTCTTGTTCATATTGAAGTGAATATTTGTAACGTTTCAATGTGTTGTCTCAGACTATTGAGATCCTGTCAAGTGTTCCAGCCCCAGAATTGGCATTTCGGTTGTATTTGCAATGTGCTGAGGTATGCCAAGAACATGATATGATAGCTTGGAATATTTCTCTGTAGCTGACATTGTAATGTGCATTGTCATTGATCAGGCTGCAAACGATTGCAATTTAGAACCTGTTGCTTACGAATTTTTTACCCAAGCATATATTCTTTATGAAGAAGAAATTTCAGTAAGTTGGATCCTTTGTGTTCGTGTTAATTGTTTCTTATATCACTAAGGGGTGTCACTTTGTTTCTCCTATTCTTATGATTTCCTCCAAATTTTCTTTTTACAGGATTCAAAAGCTCAAGTGACTGCATTGCATTTAATAATAGGCACTCTTCAGAAGATGCCCGTTTTTGGTGTTGAAAACAGGGATACTTTAACCCACAAAGCCACGGGGGTACTTTCTAATAAGTCCTGTCACTATTTTGTTGGTATTTGACATGTACTGGATATAAACCTGCATCTAAATCTATTATTACTTTTATTTTTTAATTTGGATATTCATATGCAATATAAATTTAACTATTTAAGGACACTTTAGAGATTTTATTGGAATGCCAAAGCATAGAGAAGTAAACGGAAAAAAAAATAAAAAAATAAATAATGACATGTGAACAATGAACCTTCAAATGAAAATGCTTGTATGTATGTCAACCCAGATCTTTACATATACTCAATTTGGAAATTTATTTCATGTCCTTTCATGTATATATCGTTTTTGCTTGAAAGATGACATGTGAACAACTTTATAAATATAAATATTTTCTCCCTGACAAAGCTACCTCATGGTGCAGTACTCCGCAAAGCTCTTAAAAAAGCCAGATCAATGTCAAGCTGTTTATGCTTGCTCGCATCTCTTCTGGCTTGACGATCATGATAATATGAAAGATGGTGAGAGGTGGGTTGCAAGCTTGTAGTAAGCATAGTTTTTAAGGTTTTAGACATGATTGTTGTTGTTTTGTAGCTTTGTCTTATTTGGGTATAATTATTACATAACTATGTTTATAGATTTATAGTTGAATACCTGCTAAAACATTCATTACATATTTGATCTTTCCAGTGTTATTGATAGTTACATCAGACCGCGTTGACAATATAAATGCATTATGATTTTCCTAGAGCAGAAAAGAAAATCTTGAATGCTCTAGTACAGTCTTTTCATGTCAAAGTATTTCCCAATCATTTTCTGATAGTGTAGAATGTTTGATATTGCTCCATCTTTTTCACGCTTGAACTTCATCCGTTTTGAGGGTGAGTTGTTACTTATTAAGACTAAGTTAACTTGATGTATCTTATGGAACATCTGAGGTTCTCTGGCTGCACCATGTAAACAGAAAATAAGTAGAGAAAGGAAAGTTCAGTGACGCTAAATTTTTTCTCCTTTTCTTTCTAATGTTTGTTAATGAAATTTTATTCTCCTTTTAATAACTATTTTCTCCCTGTTGAATCAGGGTTATGCTTTGCCTAAAGCGTGCATTAAGAATTGCAAATGCTGCTCAGCAAATGTCAAATGCAACAAGGGGTAGCACTGGGCCAGTGTCGCTCTTCATTGAGATTCTGAACAAGTAATCTTTGTTCCAAAATGCTTCAGAGCCCACGTTTGAGTATGGTTTTCTCTTGGTACATACTTCACTTTTATTTTGTCGACTTGCAGGTACTTGTATTTTTTCGAGAAGGGCAACCCGCATATCACTGTAGCTACCATCCAGGGCCTAATCGAATTGATTACAACCGAAATGCAAAGTGATACTACTACTCAAGATTCATCAGCCGATGCGTTCTTCGCCAGCACTCTCCGGTACATCGAGTTCCAAAAGCAGAAAGGTGGTGCAGTGGGTGAGAAGTATGAGCCCATTAAGGTGTAACTTAAATTGGACGCATTAGTTGATTGATGCTGAGAATTCCGACCAGTTTTTAACTCACCCTTACAGGTAGAGAGTCAATTTAGTCTGGTTAATTTTCTGAAGGAACCAATTAGTCGGACGCTGCTCTTTTGGTGTCCATTTAGCTTCTTGCTTCCTGTTATACAAAATGTCCAAGATTCTAGTTAAACAATTTATGATTCCCTGTTATGTAGAATGCGAGGACTTAATTGCTTCCCTATTCTGTAAAATCTGATTCTCTAGTATATAAGACTTCATTGCTTCCCTGCTCTCTGAAATGCGAGAATGGCACAAACTACTCGCCATTTTTCGGGTTCGTACACTTGGTGTGCTCGGTCTGACCTGTCGTGGGTGCTTGTGCATATTTTTGGAACTTCCAGACAGGAACCAACCATACAATAAAATCCCAGCCTGGTCTGTGTTTGGAAATCTTACATTCCTGAGATATAATGTCTTTTACACCATCTTGATGATGGTTTTGCCTTTTCATTTGCAGTTATTTACTCTTTGGTGGATTATGGATTCATGTTGATTTTCTTTGTTGTGGGGGTTAAATTACAATTGTTGTACTTGAATTTTGCCACTTTTCACATAATTTCATTTGTATTCGTTATAGTCTTGGTACTTTTCATATTACATGCAACTATACAATATTTTTGCAACCACCAGAAATTCATCAAATATGTTAAGAGCACGGTTACAGTAATATGTGATATTGTCATAAAAACCATTTCACCTATTAAATAGCTATTTAAGTGTCCAGACATTTTCAAAATTGTCTGGCTTGAATCTTGAAATAAATGCTCCATAAACAAAAGAGAACATCTAGTAAATTAATAAAGTATTTATTAAAGGTTAAATGTTTAATCACTCCTATAATTGTTCAACTTAAAAAAAAAGAGTGAAGAGTTTTGTAATATCCAATGACACAGAACACTCCAAGAGGTATGATCTTAGGGAGAAAAAGGAAAAAAATTCTTTTTTTAATTTTTAAGTTAAGAGTGGAGTTGGAGATCAAACCGCAACTTTAAGGAAGATAACTTTAAAGAAGATAATAGATGCTCTTCGACTATGTTTGAATTGATAAAAACTTCATTGTTGATCAATAAATAAGGGAGCATTATACAGAGTCGAGAGATTGTATATCATTTTTTCTCTCTTTAAATATAGATATATAGAAAGCATAAATTAAAATTTAAATAGAGCATTGAAACAATTCTAAGTTACAGAGAGCTCAAAATACAAGAACAAAACATTTGATTAAGAATTTGTCATCTTCAAATCCACACTATCATATTCATAGCTTTTATTGGGTAGCTATCTCAATAGCATTTTACTTTTTGAGAGGGTTTTGAAAACTATACTAAAAAGGAAAAACTGTTCCTTTTTAAAAAATAACTTTCGTAAGCTTTGACAGTTAAAAGATTGATACATATTTAAAATCATTATTCACATGTCTGTAATTTGTTAGAAGAAAAAAGCAGTTGGCAAAATGTGTTTGTGCTAAACTTTTATTTAGAAAAACAAGAACAATTCTTCAGAAACTCCCTCCCTATGCTGATCTAAACCAGAAAAACAGTCAATCACATAGAACATAAAACTGAAGCAACTCAAACTCAAGGTTGGCAGTTGCATTTGAAGGAAAAACAACTCCAAAAAAGAACAATTTTATTCTCTAAGCTACAAAACATAACTACTAGTCAAGTCAGAATGCAAATTTATAAATAAAAGAATCCACCAGTGTCTCTCTTTGAAGCACACACTTCACTTGCATTACAAATCCTTCCCCTTCTTCTTCCCTCCATACATACACTTCTTTTCAAGCACATCATAATGCAACTCTTAGTGCCCTTTCAAAAACAAATCTCTTCCTAATCGTAATTGTTGACGCGTTCCAATATCCAAATCTCTCTATTAATACAGGCGAGGAACATGTCGTCTTGCATGATTTCCAGGAAAGCAGTAACAAACTACCAGATGAGATATGATGCTTCACAGAGATTGCGAGTATTTGCAGGACAAAAAAATAAATCAGACTTTTAGAGGCCACTACAGAATCAAAAGGAAAGAAAGAAAAAGGCTGAGAGAGAGAATACAGGCAAGACCAAAGGGTGGTTGTCATGTTTTCACAACTAGAAGTTTTGCTCATAATATCGAGCACGCTTTCTGAGCTTTGCTCTTCTTTTTCTTCTGCTTTGGAGGTTGAAGTACAACCCTAATTGCTTGATCAAAAACTCCCTTCACATTCTGTATTTACATGATGTTCAAAAGCAAATTAATAATCCATAGCTGCAATTCAAAAACACTGGGATCGTACTAAAAAAAACAAAGAAAAAAATACACTAGGGTCAATCACATACGAATATAAATACCTGCTGAGTTTTTGAACTGCACTCGATGTATGCCGGAGCTCCGATCAGCTTCCTAAGCTCCTCTCCCTTGATATTGACAAGAAATAAAAATCATACCAACACGACAAAAGAAGAGGAAAGTTTGAAATGGAAAACCATTTAAAAGAAAATTTTACCTGAACTGTTGAGATGGGCACTGCACCAGGATGGTCAATGAAGAACTGCTGATCATCTCGAAGATCTACCTCATAAAAATCAATATCAGTGATAAACAACCCAGGGCAGTCACTGGTGGCACATGCCAACAACATTAAACAGCATAAATAGATCCAAATGCTGAATTAGAGATGAGAACAGACAAGGTCAAATACCATTTACTTGTAAAAATCTATCTTGTCTAGCAGCTAAGTAGAAGGAAACACAGAATTCTGTTGCCAGGAAACTGTTGGCATCACAATATTAAAAGTTCAATTCTATTTCTCCTTCTAACCTACAAGGTTTGATGAAAAGTTTTTTTCTTCTCTGCAGCAAGTGAAATCTAGGTTTATTCTAAGCCAATAAACAATATCCAGTAATCGAACTCTTCGGAATTACTTATGTTTTGGCCACAATACTAAACACATAACTGGTGGTGATGGAGAGTGGCAGACCCAAATATGATTTCAGTTCCTAATATCGGCAACCTTAATAACATGGACTCCCAGGACTAACATCTAGATAGCAAACGACATTTCCCATCTGATTTTTCATGTAATTTAAGGCCTCCAAAATTACTGATCAAGCATTCACAATCTCGCAGAAAAAAACATCCAATATACTTTCCATTAACTTGCAAACTACTGCTACCAAGCACAATACAATCATAATCATCGTGTTAACAAGGCATCAATTTTGGTATGGGTTTGGTTGATAAAAACTTCAAAAAGTATTGATGGAATGGTTGTTTGGGCTACTTAGTTGGAAAGTAATAGTCAAACCCCTGAAAACAGAATTTCAACTCCACAAGGAATTTTTGGAAGAATCATTTTTGTATTTTTCAGAATGATGCATCCTTTCTAAGACTTTCTATAATTATTCTACTTCAGGCTTTAAAGTTAAATGGAGAAAAAACAGTTCAACAGACATAATTTACATAACTTGACACTAGAAATTCTTAAGAAAAGAGCAGAACGATCCTAATCATTTCTCAATAAAGAGGAGACAGTATATTAACAAATGTGTTCTACAAGCTAGAGCTTGATTTCTTTAACCTGTTGTACTCATGTTGACTAGTGTTATACTAACAAGCATCGAAAGCTAAACAACAGGGTACTAGGCGACAGACACCAACCCAAATAAGTTATAACTTATAAGTACACAAGAGAGGCAGTCTTCAAATGTGCAATATACACTTAACAATGAGGAAACACAAAAAACACCAAGTATCCAACCCAAAGAAATTGTAATTCGCAAGTGCGCAGGAAAGGCAAAATTTCTTTAAATCCCAATTCCCAACACAGTCTCACAGAGAGAGGAAGAATTCCTCTTTTACGTATTCGATATAAAATAAGGAGGCCCCTGAGAACGTGGTTTACATTTAAATTTATTGCTCAGCTAAGTACTTGGTGCAGGTTCCTCCAAATGAGCTTGGCAGCCAACCACAGAAGTGAGGGTTTCGAAGCATTGCTTCATCTCCTTCAGTGTCAAAGTGAGGAGGACTCTATACTCTTTAGTGCGTTGGAGTTGAACAAGAGACTTTCGTGCGATGAGGTGATGGATGGGTCCTAGGTTTAGAGTAATATGCACTTGAAAGTTGAACAATTCACTCTTGAGCCTATTACTAGCTGAGTTTTGTACACTCCTTTTTCTTTAATTACTATAATTGGATGGTTGACTGGTAATCGCAGTTCTTTTATACAGGTCATTGGGGGTGGGTCTGTTTTTTTTGAGTTTCAGCTCCTCTGACAGCTCTATTGAACAGTATTTAGTTTATACTTGCATATAATGTTCCAACTTCTATCAATAAAATACACGAAAAAATTATCCAAGATAGGCAATCAAGATTAAGTGTTATCGGTAACCAGCAGAAATTGTTTATCAGGGCAGGCGTTTATCAATCTGATAATACTCACTAGAAATAGAAACAAAGCATACTTCTTAAAATGCAAAATGTCATTTCCTTTAAAAGACTTGAAAAAGAGAAATGATGGCACAGCCTAAACATACAGTATATAGAAACTACATCGACAAATAAGCCAAAGCCTAACGAGGAACAAATAATGTAAGATTCAAAGAACATAAGAAAAATCATTACCAAGCTTAGTTCCAACCAGAACAATAGGTACCCCTGGTGCATAATGCTTCAACTCTGGAATCCACTGAATATTATGCCAAAAGGATGGAAATAAAGCATTATTAACTATATATCAGGAACTAACAAAACATATATTCAGAACTGGGAAAAATCGTCTCTCTTTTACCTTTTTAGAAACATTTTCATAGCTGGCCTTGCTAATGAGAGAGAATGCCAATATAAAAACATCTGCCCCACGATAACTCAAAGGCCTTAGTCGGTTATAATCCTCCTGTCCTGTTCCATAGACCACCAAATTCAATCCCAAGAAAGAAACTAGGAGCACTCAAAAAGGAAGAGAAAATAGATTAGAAATATACCAGCTGTATCCCATAACCCTAAGTTAACAGTGCTCCCATTCACAACCACATTTGCACTGAAATTGTCGAAAACTGTAGGGACATAATCCTACATTCCAGCACATTTCAAAAGGATAAAAAATGTAAGCTGCTAATAACAGGATATAACCAAGCAACTATGACTTAAAAAAGAAAGAAACGATTCAAGAGGAAAGTACTAAATAAAGGCAACATTCAAAAGATTATATCAATTTAAAAAAAAAAAACATAGAAAATATTAAAAATATCCATGCGTTCATTCAATTTCTGCAACCCAATCATAGACCACACCTTTTACATCGAACTCTTATAAAACAAAACGCGAAATCAGAACAACTGGCAAAAGCAAATGTAATATTAAAAAAACAAAATCTTAAAAGCTAATTTATAATACTCCCACCGACTAGAATACTCATAGATCCCAAATTTACCGACAATTGTTTTCACTGGGCACATTATAATATATTATCGGTCATATACGTGGATCCCAATTCCCTCCCAGCACAGAGAGGGAAATTGGAAACGATGTTAATTTCATAATTCATCGGCATCAATCGAAAGCATTAGACAAACCAACAAATGAGACGCAACAGAAATTAAGAAAGGGAAAAGATAATGGGAAGAAAGGAGGAGAGACGACTCACAGTAGGGAAGGTGTTGCTGGTATAGGAGATAAGGAGACAAGTCTTGCCCACAGCTCCATCGCCAACGGTGACGCACTTGATGAACCTTGAAGCGCTCATTGTTGAGAACCCAATAAAGAAAAGAAAAGAAAACGCCTCAGATCGTGAACCTGAGGACAAAGAAACAAGCCTCTACTTCGACTCCGTGTTTTGTCGAGTTCCTCCTCCTGCTGTTCCTGTTCGTCAATTGCGCATCTAAAAAATTGAAAAAAGAAAGCAGAAAATTCAACAAAACCCTAAATTGAAAAGTGGGAAATGGAAAGAGAAAAAGAGAGAACCAAAATGGGGAAATGGGAGCTCAAAAACCTTGGAATCAGAGGGAAAGAGAGAGAGTATGGAGGAGGAATTGAGAAAATTGCAGAGAGAGAAAGAGAGAGAGGAGAGAGAAAGCTTGTGGCCGGGAAATAATGCCGATGAAGCGTTCGTTGAGCAAACCAATCTTCGCCAACAAACCTTGGTTGGTTGAGCTCTTTTTTTTTTCTCCTCCCTTTATTTTATTTTATATTTCATATATATATAAATTATTTATTTTTTACTTAGTTCATAGTTTCAAAACGTTTATTTTTTTCTCCTGTAGTTCATTTTAGCCGTGATATTTTTAAAATATTTGTTATGTCTCTATCTTTCTAAGACTGACAATTTGATCCTTACTTGTAAAATTTTACATATCATGGAGGAAATCTTTTAATACAAAGTTATGATTATATTTCAAGAAACTTAGTGGATTAAAATTATGATGGAAAGAAATGAGATAAAAATATAAATGAAGGATCAAGAAGGATCACTTTTAAAGAGTATAAAATCAAAATAGACATTTTGAAATACGTGGTTAAAATAAAAAAAGTTAAGAGTAGGATGAATAAAATAGTATATATTTTTTTTAACGGAATTAAATTATGGATTTGGTGGAAATAATTCTTAAAGTTTTAATTTAATTTAGTTATTGTTATTTAAGTTTAGTTTAGTTTCAATTAAATTATATATATATGTTTTTTTTGTTTTTTTTTTGTCTCTATACTTTTAAAACGTCCATTTTTGTCTCTATATTTTCAATGTTTATTTATTTTAATACATGAACTTTCAGACATTCGTTTTGGTTCCAATACTTTAAAAAAGTGACATTTGTGGTACGACACTTCATCACAAAATTTAATGAAATGTAGCCATAAAATTGATCAAAGAGTTTCTACTGTATATACTGTTTATGTTAAAATTTTACGGACAATGACTAAAATAGTCACTTTTAAAAAGCCTAGAGACCAAAACATAAATTTTGCAAACATAAGGATTAGAATCAACAAAAGTTAAAAAACAATAACAAAAAATAAACATTTTAAAAAAATATATGCACCAAAACAAATCGTACATAAATCAAAATAATATTTAAATTTTGAAATTATTTTCAAACTATAGAAATAAATTTGTAATAGAACTAAAGTTTTAGTATGTCCATGTCCTTCAAGGCGATGGATTTTGGGGCTTTTGCTTTGCTGTCCTATATAACTCTGTTTTTCAGTAATGCGTAATTTCTTATAAAAAAAATTGGAAGACATCTAAAAGAATATTTAATTGAGAAATTTTGATTTTCTTTGCTTAAAAAAAAATGCAAAAGAAAATTTCTAATTGATTTTCCACAATAGGTATGCACTAATAAATTATGTCTGTTAGTTATAATGATTTGAACATGTTGTATTAATTTGAGAAAAAGAAGACAGGCAGTTTCGAAATAAATAGTTAAAGCAAAAGACAGCAAATATATATAATATATTTTTTATGTTTTTTTTTCCTTCTGTTAAACAACAAATTGTTTTATATTAGTAACATACCTTAAATTTTAGCTTGTCAAAATATTTGATTAGGCTAGTTAATATATTCATAAAAAAAAATTAGTTTTCTGTGCAATAATGCTCCATGTTATACAATTTATTGGAATTATGGATGGGTATACTCTCATTGCTAGATTAGCTACATTTTGAAAAAAATTACTTTAAATTTGAGGTAGCTTCAATTCATTTTTGTCTAATAAATTCATTAATGATCTATTAAATAAAAAGTTGAAAATTTAGGAACTTATTAGACAATGTTTAAAGTTCAGATCCTATTAGACATAGCCTTGACATCAAACTTGTAATTTAACCAGCGGGAAAAAGAAAAGAAAATATATGATAGAAATTTATTTCCCAAAGTAGTTCATTCACAACCCTAGAATGGTGGATCTTGTGCAAAAAGCACATAGCATTACCATAGATTATAGATCACTCATCACATGGATTTTCCAATAAATATATAATGAAGACTAATAAAGCTAAGTAAGGGGAAGCAGCGCCAGGGAAATATCATAGAAAGATATGGTACAAAACTTACACACAGGTTGGAACAATCTCTTCTAGGATCTTATAAATTAAGACTTGCAAAATGAATGAAGCGTCTCGTCCAATGCTTTCCTGTCGTAATCCCCGGTGAAAATGCAGTTTCCTAGAGGACCTTTCAGGAGGATTAGCCTTAGTAGCCCGTCAGCAACCTTCTTGTCGACCTGCCATGCAAATCAAGCTCAGAATCGAGAAAGATGAGCATAGGAATAGAGAGGAACATCCTAAATCACTTACCGCCATTATCGATTTGAACATCTCCACCGTCATGGTTTCTGGAGGTGCAGTAGGTAGCTTGGCCTGTTCTAGAATGGCATGAACTCTGTTCACAATCGTATCATCAATCCATCCGAGACGATACGACATGTCGACTGCCATTACCTGAAAATTGGCAAAGAAGCCCCCGACAGAGTGACACTCAGAATTGGTATATATGAAGTAGAATGCAGAAACCATTTGAACTTAACAATGCAATACCGTGCCAACTGCAACAGCTTCTCCATGGAGCCATTGACCATACCCGAACCCAGTTTCTATTGCCTATAGAACATAGCACATAATGAAAAGATAAGATTCAATGAACAAAAAGTGAACTGCACACAAAATTCTATTTTTCAAACAAGATAAGAGAAATATCAAAGTTCAAGTCGAACTTGAGAAGTGGCGGAGGTATATTTTGACTCAGAATAAACATAGAAGATGGAATTGACAAACAAACAATATCTTGATGAGCTTACAGCAAGTCCCATAAGAAACATAAAATCTTCACCACATAGCATCACAGTAGTCAACAACTATGTGTCTAAAATAAGAAAGTATTGAAATAGATGTGGTGATCGAAATCGGTATGCTTCAACAATCTATTCTTCATTGCCTCAGTAGTCAGTAGTGTTTCAAGCCATATTAACAGAGTGGATGAACAGAACTTACATGTCCGAATGTGTGGCCCAAGTTCAGGGTTGCCCTTAGTCCACTTTCCTTCTCATCCAATGATACAACCTCAGCTTTGTTCTCACATGAACGTTTTATCGCATAAGCTAAGGTGGCTGGATCCCTACAACAAGCCAACGGATTAAAAATTTTCAGTAAAAAATCGATGTAAATATCAGAAGATAGAAAGAGAAGCAGTTTAACAAAACACAAGATAAACAGAACGGAAATGGAATCTGCAAAATGAGTGTATATCTGATGAAAATAACTACACATGTGAAAGGACTCTAGAGAGAACAGATGAAATTCATAATATTTTAGGTACCAAAGTAAACAATTCATTTTCAGATATGTCAAGAGAATAATAGGAGAACATATATAAGTTCCGCTTTTGTTGAAAATAGATTAAAAGGATTAAAGTTATCCCAATGTAACAAATTAATTTTTAAGTTTTGTGTTGATTTGACATGGTTTGGGAGCATGAGGTTCTCCGTTCTCTAAGTTCAAATTCCAACTATGTATCTCCTTCTCCTCTACATATGTCGGGACCTTGTGAACCAAACTAATACCTGAATCACCTATTAACAACTTCATTGGGACCTCGTGAATCAAACTAATATCTGAGTCATCTATTAGCAACTTCAACTACATGTGTTGGAACCTGTGAATCAAACTAATATTTGAGTCACATATGTACTTAAACTTTGGGATCTAGTAATGAAATTTCACTAGAATACATAAATGAAAGTCAATTTATCTTCATTATAAATGCTTCAGCAGGAATATAAGCATATGGAAAAGTAAATAAAAAATATTTCACACACGCACCTCGCCATTAATGATGGCATATTCTTCTCCTGCCATTCAAAAAACTCGGCATCCCTGATAAGCCCATACTTAATGACCTCAGCAAACCCAGAAGCCAGTTCCCTATCAGGTAGTGTGTTTAATGTATCCGTGTCTACAACAACACATTGAGGTTGGTAAAATGCACCAATCAAGTTCTTCCCCAGACGGTGATTTATCCCCGTCTTTCCCCCAACAGAAGAGTCTACCTAGAACAAGCAGACGAGAACAAGAAAAGTTAAAGAAAGGTTCATCTCAAGTTTAAAAAAGAACAGTTCAGAAAAGCCGCATACTTGGGCCATAACAGTGGTGGGAATCTGTATAAAGTTAACCCCTCGGAGGAAAGAAGCAGCAGCATAACCACACATGTCACCAATGACACCACCACCAAGTGCCACGAAAGTACAACGCCGATCAAGCCGCGACTCAATAGCCTTATCAAAGACTTTCATGAGTGTGTCCTACTGATTCAATATCGTGGTTAGTTTGCCCCCTTAGTTCGTCTTAGATTAAACAAAATTATATTAAAAAGTTAATGATTTTGAATTTTTCTCTCTATTTTCAGAATAAATTGGAATGCAAAAATGGCTAATGTAAACTACCCACCATATCCTTATACTTCTCACCATCTGGTAAAACCACGCTTTCAACTGAAACATTAGGATTCCCAACAGTTAAAGCTTCAGTAACTTTATCTAAATACAATGGTGCAACCGTATCATTCGTGACTATAAGAACTCTCTTCCCATGAACATGCCTGTAAATTATCAAGACCAGCATAGATGAGGACATATGTACGATTTGGAAAGAAACCCAATGCCTCATAAAATGATTCAATTCCACTAATTAATTTCAAGCTCTTATGAAACAGTATGAGTACCTCTGGAGAATCTCAGGCTGATCGAGAAGACCGGAGCCTATATAAATCGGATAGCTCCGGTCACCCAAATCCACTTCAACAATCGTAGGAGCAGAAGAAGCAGTTTTAGTCGACGACTGATCCATAGTTTGAGCAGCGGTAGCCCAAATCTTCCCTCTCATCGGCCTCGGATTAAGCCCAGAAAACCCGTTACGATTCAGCTCGATCCTAACCGGCGAGGAGCGGAGAGAGACCAAATTACGATCGCCGATGGGAATACGGCGGAGTTTGGAGAATGAACATTTGACGCCGCGGTCACAAGAGGGAGAAACACAGAAGGAATTCGAAAGGGAAGCCATGAATCGGAATCTGGGTCGTCTTCCGGGGGATTTGTGGCGGCGGAATTGGATCGGCGGCGGAGAATTGGGAGGAGTTGGTGGAGAAATGAGGCATTGTAAAGGAAGAGGGGCGGGCTGTGCGCGGTTGGCTTTCAGTGGTGGCGGGCGGGTTAGGTGGGCGGGTCAAGGTTGGTAAAAGAACTTACAATTATATCGCGAGAAGTTCCCGATTACGAGATATGTCTCGTGCGATATTGATGAGAATTTTACGAATATTGGAGGCCCTTATTTATTTATTAAAATTGGGTTGTTGTAGAACAAAATAAAAGACACTAGACCGGCATTAAATTTTTATCCCAACGTCGTCGTTTAATTAATATTCTCCTATGTTCACGGATTGGGAATAGATATAAAAGATAAATTGATATTTATATTGTATCATACAAAAATGGATGAAATATTAAAAAATATCAACAAAATATTAATAACCAAAGTTTTCAATTGATTTATTTTTAAATAAAATGCTAATTAATTTCTTATTTTAAATAAATATTTCTCTCCCTTATAAATGACGAATCGTGCAGAATTGTTATAGAAAAAGGGTTTGTTATAACAATTTTGTCTTTTTTATTATGGTCCATGTGAAAGAAATGTACTAATTTAGTAGAAGGCAAAAAATACAGTGATTGTGAATTGAGAGAGAGAATATATTTCGATCCCTTCGACATTTCTGTGATTTTATGGACCTCTAGATTGGTGGACTGGAGAAGGGGTAATAAAGCTACTCCACCGAACTAATATTGGTATTAAAAATTGATATATGTCATCTCTTAACGCGTCGTTTCTTAAAAAAAGCATGCAATACTATATAGATAGGTGGTCTCTTATGAGACGACCTACTGCGATCGTCATAAATAAGCTAAGGATAGAGGTATATAAGTTTCAAATTAACATTATTTTGAAAATAAGTTTAAAAATTAACAATATTAAAAAAATCACTTTTTATCGATGCGAGAATCTTAAGGAAAAACATCCATCTTTTTTTATTTTCTTAAAAAAACAATCTGAATAAAACCACAATATATACTAAGTCTATGAATAACAAGGAATCAAATAATCCCGCATAGGATGAACCATTTATTATTAATTTTTCTTTTAGTTCAACAAATCAATTGAGCTATTTTAAATCAAAAGATGAAACTTCGTCATCGTTTATTGTTTTTCTAACGAGAGAAAGAACCAAACTAACATGCTCCACCTCCCTTGTATCAGCTTCCATGATTTCTCCAAACTTTTGAAACAATGGCTCTATGACATCTCCTCCAAAATGGTTTCTTATCATCGACTCATTCACTGCTCTAATGGCCTTAGCCATTTGTTGGGTTGTTCTTCTCCTTCTATTGTAACTCATGATAGTCTTCTCCTCTCCATCGCCATAGTCTCTGATCACACCAGCCCATGGCAGAGCAATTATCTCCACGCTCTCTATTCTGAACGACCCTTCTCTCTCTATCTCTTTTTTCACATCCTCGACATATGGTTCATAGTACGGAGTGTTGTAGTTGTCTAGTTTTTCCTCCTCGATAAGCCCCTGAAGGAGATAAGATCACGAGTATATAAGTCGAAGACAACATCTTCGTTAAAAAAAAACTCTTTTAGATGAATCAAAATCACGAATTGAGAGCAGATGACAGAGAGACATAAATTTTGAAAAGAGAGTTCAAGATTATACGAACTCTCTAAATCTTAATTTTGGTAATGCATGAAGTTTTATTATTTCGAATATTGAAAATAGAAAATCCAAATTTGTTGATATCCACTCTCCATATCTTGTTCAAATATGCAATGCATTTAATATAAAACTTAAGTATTTACCGGTAAGTAGATATCTCTTATTTACCTTTCTAAAAATTTGACAAAAGAGATGAATGCATGTATAAAGGAAGAAAGTGAAAATAAAATAAATAGTCACCGATTGTATCTTTTTTCAACACCTTTTTTTTTTTCATTTTTGATATCTATATATAAGTGTTCAAAAGATAGTAAGCTTACGTGCCCGACAAATCTTTCGAGACAACCATGGTACCTAATCCCTACAACATTTGATAATTAAAAGTTCTGTAGAATTTTAATATCTTAGGTAGGCGGTGACGGACTTGAGATTTAAACCTCTTTCAAATTCTCGAACCAAGAAGAGAAGGGGAAGAAATATGTGTACATAATACCTGATGAACCAAAGCTTGAAAAGCTTGTCCCAAGTAATCCCAAAGAAGGCAAGTTTCATCAGTGCATGGATCTGAGTCTCTTCTTCCTCTGAAAGTTAATACCATGCGCCCTCCACCCACAACTTCTTTTGATCTTGCCTTCAAAAAACAACTGAAATCCTTCTTGAACTGTCCAAAATATGCCTCTATTACTGCCCTTGGACTTGTCTTTGATATGAAGATCTTCCCTTTGTTTCTGATCTCATTCAACTCTGCAGGTACCTGTTTCAAATTTCTCTCTCACTGTTCCAAATCGAAGCGGGACGAACAACAATGACACGAAATGTATGCCGACCGTGAACAAAATCATATGAGTACACTCAACGTGAACGTGTATTAATTGGCCGGGTAGCTATTGTTAAACCGTGTAGAATAATACTTTATGAAATGGGCCCGGAAGATCGAGGAGATAAAAATAGGATCACTGTAATTGGAGTTTGTTGCATGGGCTACTGTAACTAGCACAAGGCGACCTCAAAGTACACTATAAGAATTTTTGGCACCGACGACATCGGGAGAAGCTGGTTGTTTTCTTGATGCTTTTATATTTTAATCTCCTAACGTTTTTTCTTGCTTTGACAAAAGAATAACGTAGCCTGCGAAGAAAATGTGAATTTTATCTCGACATTTTTATAAGTGTCGGAAAAAGCGTCTTCTCCCGACAATTTTTCAAAACGTCGGCAAAAGTAAAATACAAAATATATCACAATACTTTTGAGAAAACTAAACCTTGAGAAAAGATGATAAATATATTTGAATATATGTATTCTAGTCATTGTTTTTTTTTTCCTTAAAATCAATTATAAAATTGTCCATCTAATAATTAGTATAGAGTTTAAAAATTTAAACATCAAAATAATTTTTTTGAGATTTGAATTTCAACTTCAGCGCCATGCGCTTTGCTTCGCTTTATATTTATAGAAGAGAGAGACCGTTGTCTTGAGAGTGAAAAGCAAGCGCAAGCGATAGAAAGTCTCGTCCCTCGCGCGAAAGTCTTGATCTATTAAGCTAAACTCTTATTCACGATTAAAAATAATTATTTTAAAGTTTTAGAGGAATAAAAATGAAATTTAATTCTTATAATTTAAACTTTTGATCTTCTATACTCTATATGGTGTTTTAAACAACCTAATAAAATTATGTTCGGGGATAATTGAAAGATATTATTTTGAAAAATAATTTTGTGATTTTTAGAACATAAAAGTCAATGGAGTATAAACAACCTAATGAAATTATGTTAGGGGATAATTGATAGATATTATTTTGGAAAATAATTTTGTGATTTTTAGAAAAAAAAGTCTAACACAAAAAACATACTTGGGTAAATATCTTTTATAAAATGATATTATTTTGTTTTCTTTAATTTGTTTGTAGAGAACAAAGACGGCCTTCTTCTTCTTTATATAGAACCATGAACTATGGTTATTTTTATTTGTTCAATCATCCAAAAACAACTCTTATATTAAAACATTTTGAAAAAGACAAAATATATATATATATATATATATATTTTTTTTTTCAAAAAATGACAAAAATGAAAAGCTTGTTTCTCAAAAGATAGTGCAATGAATCTTGACTGAAGAATATGTTGGATTGATTGATAAAATCCTCACATAAGTTTTTGGAATAATACTAAAGAACTACCAATTTTTTATAGTAAACACCAATAAAAATGGGATAATTTTTCAATTTATTTTTTTGTATTTCTCTTGTATACTTATAAAAAATTTGATGATGATCAAAAGAAAAGATGGGTACAGATCAATGTATTTATTGACAAAATAGGATAATTAAGAATCAAATATGTTCTCGATCAGAAGATGGGATAATACTACAGGAAAAAAAAACCTTCTTAATGATACTCAATCTTCAATATTTTTATCACAAGCTTCCAAATAAACATTTTCAAGATCTAGAAATAAAAATAAAATAATCTTAGCTCAACTGATAGGAACGGGGCTGAATCATTGACTTTTAGACTAAACTATACTCAATTGACAATAATTCTTATTTATAAAGGAAATTTTTCTTACCCAGTCTCTTTACATATATTTCTGACTAAAAAGTCTAGATTCGAATCGTCATTGCTAAAAAGAAGGTAAAACTATGTTAAAAAAAGTTGTGATTAACTTTGTGGTAAGTTCAATACAAAAATTCTTACGGTCTCTCGGGTCTAGGTTTTCGGGACGGGTGTGGGTACTCTAGGTATACGAGAACAAAGCTCCGACTCTGGATTCTCGAAAAAAAAACAAAGATGTGTGATGCAGAAACTGACCTGAGACAGCCAATGGAGACTGGAAGAGGAGTGCACAAAATGGAGAGTATTAGAAGGAAAAAGCCTGCCATAGAAAGATCCAGGAATTCCACCAACGAAACAATCACCAACAAATCCATTCTCCTCCGACAAGGCGGCGAAAACAGAGTTGAAATCGTTCCCCGGAAGGTCGTTCAGAAACACCATGAGCTCCGGCGGAGCCACCCCGGCGCAGCGGCGGCGAATGAGGGTGGCGATCTCGGAGACCGCGAAGAGCGCGTTGGGACCCGAGGAGCAGCCGAGATCGGCGACGGCGACGGTGGAGGGCAAATTGGTGCTGCACAGGGCGGCGACGGCGCGGCGGAGCAGAGGAAGCGATCCGCACTGGTACTTGCTCTGGGAGACTGAATTCGTGGCGTAGCTTTGTTCGCCGATTCCTTCGTTCATTCGAAGAATTTTTGGCGTTTCCAAATTCTTCTCCATTCATCAGTTTCTCTGATCTCTCTCACTGTGTAGTGATTATCGAGATTCTCTCTCTCTCAAAATTTGATCATTGACTTTAATATAAACCATGGATGGCATATTTAAAATAAATAATTAAGGAGCCAAGATTTAATTTCTGGACTCAAATTTATAACTAGTAAGACTTTTTAGTTATACATTTTATAATAATTTAGTCATTAATGTTTAATAATTTACTATCGTAATTGTTTTGTATAGAAATTAACTTTTTTAATACAACAAAGGTAGTGGATGAGAATGGAAGATCTGATTGATATAATGTCTTTATTTTTAACGGTTGAAGTGAATTTTTTAATTTTTATTATTACCAGTGTTGCTAATCACAAATTGTATTTTGCATAACATGTTGTGTTATAAAAAACCGTGCTTGGATTCACGGTTTCAAATGTCTTAAAGTTGGTCGCATCATTCTTCGAGGTGCCGTGAGACCTCTAATATAATTTTGTTACCTACCAGGAATTAGAATGAAAATAAATCGGAATGAAAATAAATTAGAATCAAATAAATCGTAATGATAACTTTATTCATTTGATGCTGTTTATAATTTTTTTTTAATCAGAATTAGAATTCTTTTAATGCTGTTTTCTAAAACGAATCAGAATCGGAATTGGAATCAAAACAATTACTAGTATACTATTTTCTTCTTTCATTGTCGTGCTAATTTTTTAACTACAATAATATTTTATTTTATTACTATAATATTGATAGCAATTTTTTTTACGATACCAATGTATTTAATATTAATATTAATAAATAATAAATAATAAAAATAAAAATAAAATTACATCCACTAAAATAATATTTTATTAAAACCATCATCATTTAATATAAATATTATTATAATAAAATTTAATAATAATGATATCAAAATTTATTATTATAATAATTAATAATAACGAATTATATTTTTAAAGATATGATATTAATTAATAATACAAAATAAAAATAAAAATATTAAATATTAAATATAAATTTATAATATTTTATAATAAAATCACATCTAATAATAAACATGATATAATTTTTACTAAAAAAGAATTATTAGTAGTATAAATGAAAAATAAATAAAAAAGTATAAAATAATTAAATAAAAAAGTTATTGGTTGGAAAGTGTAAAAGTAGAAAAGTAATTGCAATAAATGTGTCAAACCTATGGAATAAGGAACCAGAATGAGATTGTCAATTTTTAAGGAATGAAAATGAAAATGAGTGGGTCCCACAATTTGATTCCTATTCCCGCAATTTGGTAAACATCATCAGAATGAAAAAATTGATTCAAATCCTTTCATTCTCATTTCCTTGAAGTAAACATGGCTTAAGTCTTTATTGTTAATTCGAAAATATTTACTTATCATGCTTACTTTATTGTTCAAATATTAATATTACTTGGCATATTGGAAATGAAAATGCTAATTTAAAATTTTGTTTTAAGAAAAAGATTACTGGTACTTTGACTAGTTGAATTATTCTCAAATTGATAAAGTAGGTCATTAAATACACATCCAACAAAAAAACTAAATTTGTAATTTAGAACTCTGAAAAAATATTTGCTTGTTAATAAATAAAAAGAAATTAAGATCTTCAGAAAACACAGCAAAACTAACAATTTGTTCTTCAAGTTCCAAATTGATAATCAATTCCTTGGAAGTTTCTTTTGATATCTGCTAAGAGGGTCTAAAACATGAGACAATTTTAAAAAGTTGTTTTGGAAACAATTCAGGAAGGATTTGCAAATAAAAACGTAGTATTAGAAGTTAAGGAAATCCATTGCCCATGAACAACAACACTGTAGTTCCTCTTTATACTATGTTAGAGCAGCAAAGTAAACGTCTTCTTCGACTTCATCAAGTTCATCTAATTTCTTAATAGACTCTAAGATGGTAAATGTTGGATGACAGTAGGAGGTGGAGTTGATGATTGATTGACTACTCGTTTGTAGATGCATAAAAAAATTTAAATTAGGAACAAATATAATATTAGTAGAAGAAACCAAAACCATAAAATTGGTAACTGTGGAATCAGATACTATTAAATAGCAGCACAATAAACATATTTAAATCGTGCTAGAAAACCAAAGTAAATGTCTTCTTCGACTTCATCCAGTTCATCTAATTTCTTAATACACTATGCGATGATATATGTTGGATGACATGTAGGAAATGAAGTTGATGAGTGACTAGATATGAACTAAGGAGTTCCCTTTGTCATGCCTCAGGGACCGATTACAAGATCAAGAGCTCGGAAACTTCAACAAGCCTTACTACTTCGTGTCCAAGCGTTCGTAAACTCGACACGAGAATTAAAGGAAGAT